TTGGAAGTCAACAGAAATTACAATGTATAACATGCACATGGGTTAAAGTTTATGGAAGAAAACATGTTCCCTAGAATAATTTATTGCTCGATAATATGACAAAAATATGCATATTTTTAGAATGCAACAAGGAGAGAAAGGTATCACATACACATGTGTGCAGTACTGAGTCAGAAAAGAGGAAAGTATGGACCAGTAATCACCCTTGAGGTGAAAACCTATCACGATCTGTACATTGACACAGGTTAAGCCTTAGCATCATTTAAGAACTGGCCTGAGTTATTTCTCAGCACTGGGGCCAACATTCTTTAGTACAAAATATCATAGGCTGATATTTGCTCTTCCTAACTGAATAGCAGAATAGCTCATGAAGAACTGTAGCATTTGTGCATCTTCTAAACACAGCTAAGTTTAGGAAAGACAAGCGAGTTTGATGAAAGCATTGTATTGGGACTCCTCCATGTCAGCTCCATGAACATTTAGACTTTGCCAGTTCTAGACTGTGCATTTCTGCCCTGTGCATTATCGGTAGAACCCCTGGATTGCATCACTAGGTGCCAGCATCCCTGCCTAAAGTCTGACAAAGACACTTGTTACAGTCATTGCCAGAGATCCACAAGGAAGCAAAATCTCCTTAGCTGTATTGTAACATCTGCCCATATAAATGTCTAATCTAGTAGCCTTCAAGCTTGACCATCTACCAGAATCTCCTTAGAGAGCTTATTTTAAAAGCAGTCCCCTGGGTCCCAGCACCAGCTCTTCCGATTCACTAGAATTGGGGTGGGGACCGTGAATTTGATTACGTTATCAGTGGTAATGTTGGTGACGGTGATTCTGCCATTACACATTGAGAGCCACCTCTCCAGCTCATCTCTGCTGCCTTCTATGCCCTTATTCACACCCTGGCCTTTTCATCTTTTCATCTCTCTAGTGATGGACAACTTGGCTATCTCTACTCCTCTGTTTCCAGTCAGCATGCTTACACCTGTCTCAAATCACATGATGGGGAGGCTTTCCTAGGTCTCTACCCTGGATAGCATTTCAGGCTCATGGACTCCATGCATGCTTCATTTGAGTAAGTCCTGCCTGATCACTCTGGAACTAACCCAGCTATGCTCCCACCAGCTCTTCACAAATAGCTTATCCCCTCCCCCCCCCCAAAAAAAGATAAAAGCTACAAATCAGGAAGTTAATTCAGTTGACACTTCCCCCACCCCTTTCTATTAATACAATGAGTAAGTGAAGAGTCTGGGTGCAAGTCCCACCTTGCTGGTTATCTATGAAATGATCTTTAAGTGGCTTTGAGTCTGACCACAGAATTTTCCAGTGTTCAAACTGACCTTTAGCAGTCACCTCTCCCCCCCCCCCCCCGAAAAGCATTTGCTTACCCCACCAGGGTTTCACACCGCTAAACTGAACAAAATAATTATATTGCCAAGAATTTTGCCAGTACAAACTGAGTAAAGGCATTTTCTCTTTAGGAATTATCCACATACGTGGTTGGCCATCCTAAGTCTAATGGCGTTGTATCTGTGGTCTGAAAATCAACTCTGCCACTCTTTCGTAGCAAGAATCTTAAAAGGTCTTATTAGTAGAAGCAAACCTGGAGCCAGGTATTGGGGTGCATGCTGGAAGATCAGAGAAGCAGAACAAGCCACAGCCACCTCACCTTGCCAATTCCTCAGCTGATCCTGTTTCCTCAGACTGGATACCTCTGAGTCCTCATTCAAATGGATCTCAGCTGAACTGTGCTGCTCAAAGCCTAAAAGCTTAACCAGGCTTTTGGGTTCCTCATCCTCATGCCTTAAATACCTTTCTGCTTCCTGCCATTACTTCCTGGGATTAAAGGCTCACTTCATGGGATTAAATGCGTGAGTCACCATGCTTGGCTGTTTCCAGCGTGGCCTTGAACTCATAGAGATCTGGATGGATTTCTGCCTCTGAAATGCTAGGATTAAAGGCGTGTGTGCCACCATTTTCTGGCCTCTATATCTAATGGCTGTTCTGTTCTCTGACCCCAGATAAATTTATTAGGGTGTACAATATTTGGGGGAACACAATACCACCACACTCTTTCCCTGTTCCTGCTATGAAAGCCTGTGGTTTCTTCCATGAGCTCTACAGAGAAGGATTTCCAGAACAGTTCTATGCATGAATAAATATTTATAGATTTTATCTTTGGCTCCAAAGATATCTATCGCTTGTTGGTCCAATAGCTATAATGTGACCTAGCATATTTTACACTTAATCCTTTACCAGAAAGGTTGAATGTCCCATCTAACTTCTGTATCAGTTACTTTTGGTTGTTGCTGTTACAGAATGTCTTACAAAACAATCTTGAAGGAAAGGGTTATTTTGGCTCACTGTCTAAGCGTCCAGACTATCATGGTGGGGAATGTGTGGCAATAGGAGCAGCCCTCACTGTGAGGGCAAAGCACGGATGGGCTGGTCTTGTGGGGCCAAAGTCAAGGAAAAAAATTATGAATAGTGGTGATCAAGATGAATTCCCCCCCCCCTTTTTTTTTCTTTTTTACTTAATCTAGGACTCCATCCCATGAAATGGTGTCATCTATATTTAGTGTGAATTTTCCTTCTTCAGTAAAATCTCTGTGGGCAGGCCATCACAGACACACTCAGACATGTGTCTTCTAGGTGATTCTAAATCTAAATCTAAATCTGACAATGGTGATGTGCTATTTCAACCTCTGCCCCCTGTTTGGTAACACCAAGCATGCATTGTCGTACTCCCATGAAAATCAAGACTCATAATGATGGATTCTAAGTAACATGGTTTATAAGGGTGAAGCTAAAATTCTGTGCACATATTCTCAATTCACCTTACTATTGGACAGCTCTGGGCTTCAGCTTCTACCTCTATATTGTTAGAAGGTTGGAAGGGGTTGTATTGAACCTGTAGTGATAATGATTTTATAGTTAAACTCTTAGTTGTATCTTATTAGGGTTCAAGTGTGTCCCCCAGAAATTCCCAAGTTGGAGCCCTAACCTCCAGCACTTCAAATGTGACCTTACTTGTAAATAAAGTCACTCTAGACATAGTTAAGATTAAGTCATAAGGAAATAGCGTGAACATCTAATCCCATTGATATCCTTTTTTTTTTTTTTTTTGAGGTAGTGTTTCTTTGTGTAGCCTTGGCTGTCCTACAACTCACTCTGTAGACCAAGCTGGCTTCAAACTCAGAGAAATGCATCTGCCTCTACTTCCTGAGTGCTGGGGTTAAACACGTGTGCTACTACATCCAGCTAATCCTACTGGTATTCTTATACTGAGAGGAAATTTAAACCCAACACACAAATGGGAAAACAATAAGAGGATGAAAGGAGAGCCCTGGATGGGTGTAGTGGAATCCAAAAAATGACAAGGATGTCAATAAACGTGCAGAAACAAGAAGCCGAAACAGGTTCTGCCTCAAGATGTTCACAGAAACCTACTCTGCTCTTCTCTCCATCTGGACTTCTGGTCCTCAGAATTGTGATCTGATAAATTTACATTGTTCTAACAATTTTTTTGTGGTGCTTCAGCCTTACAGTCCTAGTTTTGTTGGGCTTCATCACTATAGTCCTAGGAAACCAAAGCACACACAGATATACTCATACAACCCCACCTGCAAGCCTCTTCCTTGTAATCTTAGTTCCCTGGACTGCACCTATTCTTGGCTTGGAGGATTTCCAAGCAAAGCTATTGCTTCATCCTAAAATTTTATTCCCAAAGCCCCATCTGATTTATATATCTTCACACAATATTGAGAATGTCTTGAGATGCACTGCTCCACACACAGCATATGGCAAGGAACAAAACAGATACAGTCTCTGCAGTGGGGCTTCTGTCTAATAATGGAGACAGGAAGCAAGCTACACCTGTGAGCATCAAGTCAAGGAATGTATATGTTAGTCTAGAGGTGAGCTAAGCAAAACAGAAAACAAGGCAAAAAGATTAGAACTCAGAAAGGAAGGCTATGAAATAAGGTTGGTATAGACAAGAAGATAAGACTTGAATAAAGTCATGAAAGATAGGCTAATGGCAGACTATTCCAAGGACACACACTAGTGAATGCAAAGATAAAAATCATGTCTAAGTAGCAGCAAGGAGAGCCAGTGGATCAGAGTGGGAGAGAAAGATCTACATGATCTGTAGAACAATTTGTACTTCTACATGTATTCATGGTGTTATCTATAATGAAGATTATATGCTATGCAAACCTCTGTACAGTTTCCACCTTGACAAATAAAGATGCTAAGAACACACTCCAGACCTGTGTTTTCTGTTCAAAGCTATCTCACAAAGCAGCTTATACCATCAACAAGGAAGTATTCCTTGCTCAAACAGAGGTCTACTAACTCCTAAAAAAACTCAGAGTTCATCTAGACATAATAACCAAAGCACACTAGCCTGCCTCCTCCCTCTCCCCCTGACCCAAAGGAGATCCTCAGTCTATTGCAGAAAGCAACAGAATTCAGTGAGCATTTATAATCATGACCTAATCAGAAGAGATATCGGGATCCAGGATCTAGTAATTTCCAAACATACTACTTCAACATACATTTATCATCTACTGTATACCAGAAAGTAGTATGTTATTAGTAACATTATTGCTGTTTGAGGTCACAATAGAAATAGCCTCTACATCAAATACTGAATGAAGCAGAAAGAAATCCTCCCCAAAAAAGACTTGCTATAATGCATAAGAGCTAGCATTTCAGCCATGCATAGTACCTCATGCCTTTAATTACAGCGCTTGGGAGACAGAAGCACACCAGTCTCTGAATCAGGGAGCCAATTATCATGACCTAATCAGAAGAGACATACAGTTCCAGAACAGCCAGGGCTATACAGCAAAACCCTGTCTCAAAACAAAAACAAACAAAAAACAACTATCGTTTCTTCACTCTACCTACATTCCAAATAGATTTCTGTAATATATTGGATGTTATTTTTCTTAACTCATATCAATTCTAAGACAAGAGTCAATTTGCATCTATAGGTCAAAAGAAGAGAGATCTGAGGAGCTCACAAGTTTCCCAGAGTTGTCACAACCATTAACTGGAAAAGAGAGACATCAAACTGTATGAATTGGCTCCCTGAATGTCCTAGAAGCACTCTGCTGGCATGTGATCAGAACCTAAATAAGTGTATGTTTGCTCTGTGGGAATGAAGTGCATTCTTCTGCATAGTAAATGGAAATCATCAAAAGACAGAGTGATGGGCCACTGGCTTTACAAGTTGAGGAAGAATACAGATGAAGCAACAAGAACACATGCAGGAATAATGAAAAGTACCATGAACCTGAGCTAATAGGAGGCAGAAGAGAAGGATGGAACCATTTTGGAGCCTGAGGGTTCATGATCATAAGCTTGCATTTTATTCTGTGAGTACTCAAAATGTAATCTTATTAAATACATGCTTTGACAGATCCTTTTACACAGACTTAGCAAATTGTCCTCTTTTTCTATTCTATACCCACCTTGTCTTCTGTCACCTGGCTCTACAAAAATATTTTCCTTATGTGGCCAGTAGATAGTCACCAATGGCATGTATATTCATGTTTATGACAAAAATTACAGTAGACTTTGCAGCTGTAATAGGCATCTATCAACATTAGCTGGTTGACTGCTTGGTTGATTTGATTGGTTGGTGTGTAAGTTGGTTGGTTGACTAGTTGGTTGGTTGGTTGATTGTTTGTTTGTTTGGTTGGTTGGTTGGTTGGTTGAATGATTGGTAAATTGATTGGTTGGCTGACTGGTTAGTTGTTTGTTTATTGGTTGGTTGGTTAGTTGGTGGGTTGGTTTGTTGATAGGTTGATTGGCTAGCTAGCTGGTTATTTGATTATGTGGTTAGTTGACTGGTTGGTTGTTCTATCTGGTTGGTCAGTGGGTTGGTTTGCTGGTTGATTAAGTACTTGTTTGGTTAACTGGCTGGCTATATGATTGTTTGGTAGATTGACTAGCTAAATGATTGACTGGTTGGTTGGTTTGTTGGTTGGTGGGTTGGTTGGTTGACTAGTTGGATGGTTGACTAGTTGGTTTGTAGACTGGCTGGCTTTTTGGTTGTTTGAAAGATTTGCTGGCTGGTTGGTTGGCTAGCTGGCTAGCTGACAGGCTAACTGGAAGGTAGGCAGACTGGCTGTCTGGCTGTCTGGTTGGTTAATTGGTTGATTGATTGGTTGGTTAGTTGGTGGGTTGACTGGTTGATTGGTTGACTGGCTGGCTGGATGCTTGCTTGGTAGATTGCCTGTCTGCTTCATTGCTTGGTGTTGGCTCATTGTACAGTGTAGCTGGTTGATGTAATATATAAATAAATACCTTTGATCTTTCTAAATCAGAGGCCATGTCGTACTGCCTCTTGATTCCACTGGTCCCAGTGTTTATTGTAATATCATTAATAATTTCTATTTAAAGTAAAGAATAAATGAATAAATGAATTATTTGATTTATGAATGAGTAGGTCCTTAATATATAAATGACTCAGCTAATTGTCCTTATCAACAAATGAATAAAATAATGAATTTCATCCTAGTCTATCCTATCCATTTGTTGCATTCAGGAAAAAACAGATTTTGCCTGCACTTACTATATTAGCTCTATATTTCATTCCACCAAAAAGCAACTCATAAGTTAATCTATGTCCCTGAGGAAAGAATGATGCTCTTTTCATTTTTCCAATTTAATTTTTTATTCAGATAACTGTGAAGTTCCATGTAGTTGTAAAAAGTAAGACAGAGCACTCCAGGGAGTCTTTCACAGTATTCCCCAATGGAAGCACTTTACAAAGTTACAACACAGTGTCATCACCATGATGTGGACATAGAATCAAGACAAAGAACCCTGGCATCACTACAGGATCTATCTTGTTGTCCTTTCCTGGCCACACTAACTCCTTTCCAGCTCCCCCTCCCCATACTCATGGAAAGAACTTGTCTGATATTCTCCACAGTTTTTTATTTCAGAATGTCACATTAATGGAACCATAGAAAGAAAACTTAAAAATTTACTTTTTTATTAAATACAATTATCCAAAGACTCATCTGTGCTCTATATATATCAATAATTCATTCTTTTCATTGATGAGTAACATTTGACAACATGAATACAGGTTATTTATACTTTTGACTCATCAGAGGACATGTATATCATTTCTTCTTTGGGGCTACTGTGAGTCAAATTACATAGGTCTTTGTATGTTTCATGCCCACAAGTGTTACTGCTGGCCACTAGAGTCATTTTGCAGAGTATCTATTCTATTTATATACCCCAAAGCAATGCATGCTTGATCCAACTTCCCTGTATCCTTGTTAGCATTTGGTTTTGTCACTAATGTTTGTTATGTGTGTGTTGTTCAGTTCTTCATTTTCTTCTTTCTTGTGATTTTCTGTATTTGATCACATTTTCATGATGTGGTAGAGAGGAAGTGTCACAAGACAGGAGTAGCTGGTCTAATAGGTGTGTAGCGATGGCTCATTACAATATGCATTGCTCTCGCGTATGCCTTTGAGTATCTTTCCACATGCCACTGAGCCATCTGTGCATTCTCTCTGAAATGTCTCTTCATGGTGTTATCTATTTGTAACTGGATGTTTTCCCATTGAGTTTGGAGAGCTCTTTGTATCTAGACACTAGTTCTTCAGATACATGCTCTGCAAATGTTTCCTTCCAGTATGTAGCTTGCTTCCTGTTCCCTTAACTGTACCATTCATAATTTTAAAAAATCTTAATTTTTATCAAGTCCAAATGTTCCATTTCATTTTTGAATGGTGATTTGGGTGTCACATTTTTGAACTCTTATCATAACCTTTTTTTCTATAAGATTTGTCCAACTTCTTTTTCTAAAAGTTTTAGTTTTATGGGTTTTTTTTTTTTTGCATAAAATGGGAGGATTTGGTCAAAGTTTAACTTTCCCATGTAGGATGCTTTTGCCTTATCACCCCATTGGCTGAAAGGTGCTTTTTTCCAGTGCTTTGCTACTGTACTGTGTTCAAAACAGAGTAGGAGGTCTCTGTGGGTATGTTTCTCTGTTCCATTACTTTGTTTTATCTCATGATTCTATGTATCTATCCTTCTGCCAACACAGACTCAGTTTCTGTCTTGTTGTCTTATGGTCAAGAAATCTGATCCCTGGGGCTAGAAAGATGGCTCAGAAGTTAAGAGCACTGACTGTCATTCAGAAGACCTGGGTTCAATTCCCAGCACCCACATGGCAGCCCAAAACTGTCTGTAACTCCATGTTCTAGGGGATCTGACACCCTCACACAGACAGACATACATGCAGGCAAAACACTAATACACATAAAATACAAGCAAATGAATTATTTTTAAAAACTCTGAGAAATTTGATCCCTACATTATTCTTTTTTCTTTCTCTAGAAAATCATATTATTATAATTTGTTTGCCCTTCCATATACAGTTTAGGATACTCTTATCTATAACTTCAAATTTCAGTAGGATCTTGATAATAATACTATTAAACCTATATGTGAGATTAGAAAGCACCAAGTTCTTGAGTATGTTGAGTCATTCCATCCATGAACAGTGTATATCCCCATTTATTTAAATGGTAATAATACTGTCAAACCTGTACATGAGATTAGGAGGCCCTGAGTTCTTGAATATGCTGACTCTTCTCAACTATGAACAATTTGTCTCTCCATTTATTTTCTTCTTCTTTGATGCTTATATCATCAGAATTTTCAACTTCTAGTATATAAATCCTATACATATTTTCTTGGATTTACAGATAAACATGTCTTTTTTGTTTTGTAATGTTTTTAAGTTACATTTTATTTTTGCTTTCATATCAACATGTTCAATGCTAATGCATATAATGGGATTTTTATGCATATCTTCTATGATTGGACTTTGGCAAACTTGTTCATTAGAAGATGTTCTGTAATTTGCTTAAATTGCTTTATTAAAAGTTATATTATGCATGCATATGTACAGATAGTTTTATTTCTCCTTTTCTCTGTGTGACTTTATTTTCATTTCCTGCCTCATTAAATTGGCTAGAACTTCCAATACTAAGTTTAATAACAGGGGTGGGCTAAGGCACCCTTGCTTTGTTATTTTTTTTTCATAAATGATTTTCATACCATAAATTTTGATCATATTCTTTGTTCTCCCCATGAGTCCTCTCAGATCATTCCTACTTCCCCATCCAAACAACTTTATTCTTGCTCTCTCTCTCTCTCTCTCTCTCTCTGTCTCTGCCTCTGCTGCTGTCTCTCTCTTACAGATGCACACACATGCATACACACACACACACACACACACACACACACACACACACACACACACCAGGAAAAAAAGAAAATCAAAACAGACAAACTTTAAAAAGGAAAATCAGTAAGACAAAAACACCAAAATAAAACAAATAGCACACACACACACACACACACACACACAAAATGAGTCCATTTTGTGCTGGCTAACTACTCTTGGGCATGGGGCCTGTTCTGGAGTGCTATTTATATAGGTAGAGATATACTCAGTTAAAGAAAACTGATTTTCCCTTTCCAGCAGGTATAAATCTCAAATAGCTTGTTGAGTAAGCTTTATGTCCTTTTTGTCCACTCCCCCTCCTTAGTGATGGGATTTTGTCTGGTTTGAATTTGTGCAGGTCTGTGTGCACTGCCACAGTCTCTGTGAGTTCATGTGTGCATCAGTTCATTTGTGTCTGGAAGACACTGGAGTTATCCATAACCAATGGCTCTTAGAATTTTTTTGCCTTCTCTTCCACATAGATCCCTGAGCATTAAAAGTGGGGTTGATAAAGACACCCCATTACTGCTGAGTGTTCAAAGTTTCTCATTCTCTATACATTGTCCAGTTGTGGGTGTCTGTGTTAATTACCATCTACTGCAAGAAGATGCTTCTCTGAAGGGTTGATCAATGTTCTACTCACATATAGTTACAGTGATATGCCATCAGGAGTCAACCTATTGCTACGCTCCCTTAGCAGAATAATAGTAGTAGGTTTCCCCTAGGCCTATGCCCTATCTTGTCTCAGGTTCTTGGCCATTTTAGCAGTATCATGGACGGGTTGCAACTCATAGAGTGGGCCATCTCACCTCATCCAATCAAAGGGTGGTTAGTTACTCCCAAAACATTTGTATCACAGTCTCACCAGTATATTTGCTGTTATATGTTGAAGGGTTTGTAGTTAGATGAAATTGACCATTACCTTTTTCCTCCAGTAGCATGTAAAGTACCAGCTAGCACCATACATGCTAGTCAGTAGGGGTGATGCTTCTAGTTGAAAAACAGCTTGATTTCTCCCTGCTTTTCTTATTCTTGATCCCGAGGG